GAGAAGGCAGTATCTTTCCAGCGATGCAAAAACATCAAATTGGAGACAAACAAAATACATGGCAGCAGTCTGAGCTTGCTCTGTCTGAGTTTGGGGAAATTAAACCCATTTGTATAAGAACCAAGTTTCTAAGTAATCTATGTAACCCACTTTGAGAGAACGTTTGATCCCACTTTATAGGGGGGGGGGGGGAAGCTTTGCAAAAATAAAAACATGCTCATGAAAATGAGCAGGGGTCAAACGGCCCTGCAGTGGACACACATGTAACCAGGAGGATGTGCTCCCAGTCCCTGCAGCGTCCATCTGACCAAACAAGAGGCTTTCAGACAAGGGCCTTCCCCCCGGGGGCGGCCATGCTTCCCAGAGCGAGGAGCACGGAGGACGGCAGTGAATAACAGCAGGACATTAGGTAAACTTTCATTTTGTGTTGATTTTGGCAGTCACTGTGGACAAAAGCGATGATGTTTCCGAGCACCAGAGTATCATTTTCCCCGACAGTCTGCTCCGCTGGGTCCTGGTTCTGGTTCTCCTGCGCCTCCCTTCCCTCCCGACAGCCCAGCAATCTCCTGGCTGAAGGAGGAGCCGCTGCCGACAGGTGTGAGAGCTCTCCACCTCCCGCCGGAGCTCCGACTGCAGGTCAAAGGCCGCAGCGAAGCCAGATCTGGTGTGCTGGCCGCTGCCGGAGGCCCCGCTGCAGTTTGAGCTGCATGATTTTGTTCGCACGGAATCCGACCCGGTAGCACCGATGACGAGCGTCAAGAGTAACTGTGTATAAATAGCCGGTCTTCTTGCTGATGGTCTCGTTTACTTGTGTAGGTCATAGAGAGGCATCAGTGTTGAATTGATACCGTTTAGTTGCCAGTTTAAAGTTCCTTGTGGTAACTTTAACCTTTATAACAAATTCCAAAGTGATAAATTGCACCTGTTATTCGTAACAGTACGCTTGCATGTGAAAAAAACAACAACTTTGACATCTTATGTGACGCAAATTCAGCAAACTATCAATTGGCGAGAGGAAGTGTAGGATTATTTCTGTCTCTTCCTCTGAGAAATGATAATAATGACTTTATTTTTAAATGATTGGCTCAACTATAAATCCAATCTGCCCCAGCACCGGTGGGCTCAGACCCAAACTTGCCTTCCATGTAGCAGAGGACAGAAAATATATGTTTTTTCTTACAGTCACAGATATTGTTTTATAATATGTGTGCATGCATCACAGTCTGTGTTTTTTCCTTATTTGTTTCTCTGCTAATTCAAGTGCACCTGAAGTCTTATTCAACGCATGCAGCATGCTGACAATCTGCTATTCTATCGGTAGTTTCCATAATCAGCAAAAGCCACAGTCTGTATTTAGAAACAAAACAGAAATAATAAGTAAATAACTTTAAAAAGGGACTAGTAGCAACAGTGTACTTAATGTATGCATGTATGCATGTATGAAGAGAAGGGCAGTGGGAGCGAGAGGGACTGTAAATCGGGCCCACGCTAACGTTCTGAAGGCGCACTGACTGTCTGATTACTGTCTCGCTGCACACTCAATAATTCCATGACGACTTTTGACAAAACATCAACAGCATTTACGCTCTTTCACCTGCACGAGCCAGCAGAGCGCCGCAGTGTTGACCGTTAACAAAACGTCAATGCTCACATTCTCCTGCCAACATAGTGGCATTTTCCCTGAATGGAGAATTACCAATGACGCTGTAAACAAACCCAGGTGTGTAGGGTTTCACGTCTCCTCATCTGACTTCACAGAGTGTTTTTCTTTCCCCTTTGACACATATGTATACTGTATACATACATGCACTGCACACACACACACACACACACACACACACACACACACACACACGCACACACACACACAGTTCTTCATGTCTTCCCAAACATCACTAGAGTCTCTGTTTTGCACGTTTCTTCAACTATGGAGAATTAAATATGGATATTTGGCTGATTTGGAACATATTTTTCTTCAACTGACATTCTTTTGGTTTATCTAACTAAGGTTTAATAGCATTCACTGATAGAGGGAAACAATCAAGCTGTTATTTACTAGTTAATCTACTAGTTAGTCAAACATCCGTATACTAAATGCACTAAATAAAAGACCCCAACTAGGCTTACCACGGTACTTACCCACCGCATCAACCTTTTTCTTTTTATTGAAATAAAACCCTTGCGTATCAGCGGCCACAATCAAATAAAATAAGTCTAATTTGTAAAATACCAAGCGTGTTGTCAGTACGCTACAATTATATAGTTAAAGTGTTCGTACAGCAGCACCCACAGTATCGCAGCGAAGCAGCAGGAGTCAGATTTCACTGATCTCATGAGTCGACACGACGGTGGAGGAGGATTTGGTGTCAAAGAGAAAAGCAAAAGCGCCTACTTGGCAAAATTTCTAATTTAAACCAGATGCAAATAAAAACTTGATACTGTTAATGAGGCAATCTGTAAACTTTGTCTCATGAAGGTGGCAGCATCTACATACACACCTTCAAGCTCATCACATGAAGTGAATGGGTGTGAATGGGTGAGTGATGACATGTAGTGTTAATTAAAGTGCTTTGAGTGGTCGGAAGACTAAAAGAGAGCGAAACAAGTACAGTCCATTTACCATTTTACTTCGCAATAACGCAGCCACCAGCCCGATAATCAAAACACAACTCCCAAGCACTCGATACGATCCATCTCATCTGCAAATACAGGCAGCAGTTCAAAAATAAAAACTCATCTGGTTCAACCAAGTGTGAGCGAATGAACCGGCAAGGCTGAAGAGTAACTGCAGCGCTGTTTACACACAACAGGTTGGAATATTTACCTTTGCCTTCGTGGCCCCGCAGACACGAACCACTAGCTTTGGAGAGTACAACTGCGTCCCTGACAGCTCAGTCTAAACACTCAATAACCAGATTATCTGTTTTAGGGTTAGCGATAGGGTTAGATGTTCAAGAGGACAAATAAGGACTTCCCGGTTATAGTCTTTCATCTGTTACGAGAAGGAAACAACTACCGGCTGCAAGGAACCGTCTTCAGACATCACTCGGATCAGCCTCTCCAAAACAGAAAAATGTTTTTTTTTTTTAATGAACAAAGAGATTCATCAGTCACCTCTTGTCTGTAATATCTTTTCTGTATTGCAGTAGTGCTTTTACAGTAGCTCCCAGTCTGACAGGTTGAGACCCACCAAAGATAGAACAAAGCAGGATCAATCAGGGTTGGTGGTTGTCAAATAAAATGTCAAATATGAGTAGAAGAAGAAGAATCATTGCTACACAAACGTCTGCTTTACCTAAAAACTATTAAGCTGAAACATTACTGTGGTTGCTCGAAGCTCATGTACAGTGTGCGTCACGGTAAGACTAAACCTGAATGCAGTCGGTTCATTAGAATAAGTGACTCAGATTACACTGCTCTTCTGCTTGATATGTGAAACACCATCATAACATCAATAATCACTCCTTCAGCCACTTCGGAAGCGTATTCCAGACCTGTGTGTCCCCCAACATGCTCAATACATCGGACTGTGGTCAGGGAACCGACTGAACCTAAAAAAATTAATAATCTATAAAGCAATCTTTGCTAAATATGCATCGTAGCAGCTACCAGATGGGCTGGCTGTAATCTATTCTCTGATTGGATTTATGTCCTGAAGAAAATCCCCCCACATCAAGTGATCTGTGCACATTGTAAAAATCCAGTTCTGGTGTATTTTGGTCCTCTTGTCACGTCATGTGCACGCAGGCATGTGTAAAAGGACGTTATTGTCTTGAAATGACAGCGGCCGGCATCGTTATTGGATTGAGACGAAAAGTGTGGACGTTTTAAGACGTAGTCACAGAGGACTACTGTTACACATGGACGTCATGTATGCAGGGAATTACCCTCCATCCTCTGTTTCAGCCACAAAATGACTGCATGTTATTATTATCAGAAGACCCCTGTCCTCACCAAAGTATAGCAATAAAATCTGTGGTTCCCAACCCTGTGGTTTGCTTGTGACCCTTCATGTCTATGAGCTCACGTTTATGAACTGGAAGCAGTTCAAGCAAAGCTGGATGTTTCCTCCTCATACAGTTTCATCCGGATAGATTTTAGGGGCCTCAAGAGGTAAAAGTCTCTAAAATTACAAAGAATACAAAGATTTGAAACAAATTCTCATATAGCAATATGCTTCTTCTTCAACCTTTTTCAATTGTTAATCATCTTGTCACCCCTTCAGATTGATTGCAAAGCCCCTTAGTTCCCGACCCCCAGACTCCAGACATATGCTCAAAAATTCAACTGTAGTTTCATTTTAAAAATGGCAAATTCACACTGTTTTAATATCAGCATAACATTATAAATCACCGGCCATCAACTGGTTCTACTGATACAAATTGGACTACAGCCTCGTGCCAATTCAAACCATAACTCTAAAAATGGCGTAGAAAACAATGCTGACATCAGTTAGAGCTGGGCTTACACTTTAACTCACAGTCACCCAACGCAACCTCCCCCTTCCTCCCTTCCTCAAGTTTCCCTCAAACTGGCTGGAGCTCTTTGTCCGAGCATCCGTACATCGCAGCAGCTGCGCCTGAGGGCACATCGCACTTTCCACCCTTTACAGGGCAAGAGGACGCTCCACTCACCCAAGAATGTGAGCATTAACACATATAGACGCCGACGCATGCACACGCACAAAGACAGGCACACTTATGTTTGCAACCAAGGACAAAAGCGCAGGATGGCATGCACTTACTCGCCGCACGCAAGAGACTTGTATCAACACTAGTACAACTACATCCGAGAAGCCATTACTTCCAATGAAAACCCACTCTGCTCTGTCGAAAACAGACGCGTCACTCAGCAGGACATGCGTGGCTATTTCTGGCCACAACGTGGACTCAGCAACTTATTTTGGGGTCACGGGGAGTTACAGGGTCTGGTTTTTTTTCTGGAAAAGAGAGCAGGCAGGAGCCCTAATCCGCCCTGACATGGAGTCCATCAGAACTTACTGAGAGGTTTGAGGATGCTGTTGCTGGCCTCATCGTTGTTTTCTGTGTCCGACTTGTCAGAGGTGTTCTCCGTCAACCTGTCCTTTCTGTCCTTGTGGCCGGCTTTCCGACGGTGGCGGCGCCGCCGCCGATAGCTCTTGGGCACGTGCACGCCGATGTAGACGGTGTGGTGGCCTGCAAAAAAAGGAAAAAGAACGGATGAACATCGTGAAACATTCTGACAAATTCAGATTGCTACGATGCCAATTATGCACCTGAACAGCTGCCTTCCTGAAACAATCACACAATCAAAATCCTTATCAGGAAATTAGAAAATTACAACATTTTGAAAATCACATTGTGTCTTCTGCAGTGCTGCAAAATACGTCAAATACAACAAGACCCAAACCCAACCCTGAACACATCTCAATTCAGTTCAAACAGGGAACATTCTCACATTCTGAGCGGAGTTATAGAGGTCGCAGTACACTGTCAAAACAAATATTTGGACAGAAAAAGAAGTAGGACGCAGCAGCGAAGACGCCATAACTGCTTGCATGACTTCCTCCTTGTTATGCTTGTTGGCACAATATCAACAGGACGTTCAATTTTACATGTTCGGAGGTTTAGTGTCGATAACGCCAAGCACACCAGACTGTTTGCTAACAGCCAGTCATTCTGATGGACAGGGATTTCATGCCAACATGCGATACGTCATATTTTCAAAACTGCTGGTCATTTGGCTGCAGTAAGACATCCGATTCAGGCCATTTATCCTTCACTCACTTAACCTTGTAGTAGTGTAGGTGTGGAATTTAATCCACACAGGCCTGAGTGATACACTGTGTTGGTGTGTTTACACAAAGCAAAACTATATCAAAGATCTGAAGCACATGATGCACATGATGATGGACAGAGAAGACATGGATTGTGCAGCTTGTGTGGTTTGTCAAATTTCTGTGGACAAAGACGTTTCTGACACTAAAACTGGTAACTGTCCTGGTTTTCACCAAAATCAAAATAGAATTTTTCAGCACATATATTGACGTTCATCACATTTTGTCATACTCATGATTACCTAACTCATATAACCATAACTATATAAAACATAAACAACGCACCACATGTCTGAATTTGTTGGCATGTGTGCCAATAAATAAATCAATGTGTTGTCGTCTTTCTGACAGAACCCGTTCGTACAGTTAGCCGTCATCTTTTCTAAAGAGCTCCAGGAGGCTCCTTCATGAAGTACCCAGCAATGGAAATGTTGCGTTCTGCACACACTGCTAGAGAACGGTGGAACTGGGGACATAAAAGATCATATTTAAGACGGCCACACAGCCATATACAATAGCTGCAGAGAGTCTGCCATGTAGCCTGCGCACACTGACAAATACCTATTGTCTAGCTTTTAAAATGTATTAGTACAGACACAAATCAATAAGTATACTACACCAATGCAATCTTTGTGTTTACTAGTGTCATTATACCGTTTTTAAATAAACTCCTGTTTTGGTGGATTTTGGGAGACAAAACATACTTTTTTGTCTGCTGAGGAGCTGTCCATGGTGTTGAAAGGTGCCCTCAGCAAGTGTGCTGTGAGCTGAAATAATTGTCCCTCATCTTAATGAAAACGCCTATAGTGCCTGCATTAACGCATACATGTGCAAGTGAATAATATTCACTTTATGTATGTAACCGTTTTAAAAGAGGTGTTGATTCAACCTTTTCTTCATTTCGGAGGCTGTAGTTTGTGGTGCTGTTGAATTTGAATTAAAACCTAAATCACATTTCTCAAGTTTCTCCTTCCTAAGCAGAGGAAGGCTATAAAAAGCAACCTTTCGGGGGAAAACATCAAAAGTCTTCCTGAAACAAAAGGCTCAATGCGATCAGTGTCAAACGTCGGGCAGTGCTGAGCCAAGCACAGCACATGACCCAACCAGGAAGTGACTGAACCCCTCAACACAGCAAACAATGATCGCTCTTGAAGCACAACAGCGTTCATTATTCCCTCGTACCACAACGCCTTTACTAGTGAGTAAAAAAGAAACAAGTTTTTGTTTCTTTTTAGGGGTTCATCTAAGTTCACCGACGGCGACGTATACCGAGCTAATACTGAGCATCAGGGGGAGGAGTCTCACCTAAAGACGTGAAGGGATACAGTAAATCAGAGGCTTTTCTGACTACGGTCGTTTGTTTCACAGACTGAAATTTAAACAAACCACTGAACACATATTAGCCTTTGGAAAGCAGACATCAGCTTGTAACATTGTTGTTGATGTGACTGAACGTTCTCACAAAACTACAGAGAAACACATTGAAAACATGCAAGTAGCTTAAAATAAAGTGTTAAAATACATTTATGTTTCAAATAAGTTAAAGATATAATAAAGATATACGAGTGTTCGCTACTAAGAAGTGGCTGCAACCTCTGATCATGGAGATAATTTATGTACATCAGTATTTATTCAGTTTTCGGACCTCATCTTGGTGTGAGCTACAGAGTCCCTTTAAACTAGATTATCTCATGAGCATGGAAGCTTATAAAACTGGATTAAGGGTCATTTGAGCACTGAATGCACTTGTCCTGAAACTGACTGACAATTTTTTGGTCCATTGTCTCTTTTATGTGATTTGTGTTTTTAACTTTTTTGTTTTTTAAGTAAATTTGGGTATTTGTGCGCCATCTTGGCCAGGACCCACAAGGAAATGAGATTTGAAACCTTAATGGGATTATTCTGGCTAAATAAAAGGTTAAATATAAAATACATAAAAATAAAAACACGTATTCAGCAATTATTTTCCACTTTCTTCAGTCCACGTGTCTGTTTTGGTAACTCCCAGGCCCGCATGACCCGCACCAGCGCCGCTACCCACAGTAGACTTGTGGTTCAACAAAGATGGTGCCGTTCCCATGTTTATGGGGATAACAGTAAAAACACAGGATCAATAGTCCACCGACAAAACACTGACGGCATCGTGTCGGCCAAGAAGAAAAAAGGGAAAAACAGGAAACAAAACTCCAAAAAAAGTTGTTGAAACTTCAGTCAGAACACAAGAGCAGATAAAATTGAGGAGTTGCTCGTTTTTTTCTGTAAACATTACAGTAATTAAACATTACAACGGTCACGGTAGAGAAAACATTCACACCATCACATGACACTAAAACTCACATAACCACATAAAAAATGATCAAACTTTGTTAATGCTAAAGACATTTTTAGCAGCTCGTCAAGGCAGAATATCCCACCACACCTTTCATTTTAGGGAGATACTAAACTTCTGTAAAGGCCCTTCACACCCACACAGGTGTTTTCACTTATTCTAATTGACTACATGGCTTGAAGTTGGCCTGAACTGTGCCGTTCCAGGAGCTACTGTATTGCACCACCGTTCACAATAGTTTCATTTCTTTCCAGCTGTGAGCAGCTCCTCCGTTCCTTCTAGGAATAGCGTTGTGGGAGAATAGTGTACATGAACAGCCCGTTATCAGTGAGCATATTGACTGTTTCCAGTGTAAACACGACAACTTAAAGGTATTAAACTGGGACACATCTCACACAGTAATAAGAATGGCAGCACTTTATTTTGTTGGGGTAACGTCCTGCTGGTCACGTAGTGGCGAGAGCGAGGTAAACCCACTTAAAGAGGGGGGGCCTATGAGATTGCAGGTTTGAAGCGGAGTCTATATCAGCTGCTAGTCAAGAAGCAGAAAGTAATGGAGATGTAGTAAACTGATTTAATCTTGTTCTGTTTCCCCAAGTGTTGGCAGAGACAGTTTACTAGAGAATCTTTGTCCACTTGGGAACCACGACGAGCTACGTGAAATATGTTTTTGGCACTTCCATGTTGGCTTCACTTAATTAAAAAGCCTACAAACCTCAAAGCTCTAGTTGTCGGATCTATTTAATAATGACACATAAGCAAATCAGATATCCTATCGTGCAGTTACTTTATGTTCAAGAAATATCTCAACATAAACGTCCAGTGTTATCCTGTTACCTTCTACTTGCACACCGGCTCATTAAGTTACATTAGAGTCGACCAAAGACTTGACGTACAGAAAGTGGGCATTACAACAAGACCCGGGAGAAGATGGCTGTACAGCGACAATGACAGAGAACAGAGACATGGAGAGACAGACAGAAATAAAGACCGCGGTGCTATTAGGGCTGATAGATGAGCAATAAAGCAGAGCGTGAAGACGTTTGTACAGGCTGAACGGCAACAAGAAAGGAGGTGGAAGAGGAATGAAAAATAGTCGAGTCAAGGAGCTGGAAAGGGAGATTTGCACACTGCCAGAGTCGCTTGTGTAACGACTTCCTCTTCTTTTTTTTTTTTGCGTGGAAGAAGAACGTCTTTTGGAGCGGCCTGTGAGCACACACACTGAATGAAATAAAATCCTTGTGTTTTTACTGGGAGGTTTGTTTAGCTCACTAGATTTTTGAGGAGAGGCAAAGCCACCGCCAGTTTCCCAAGTAACCGCGCCGCTGGGACCTGCCCAGACCAGTAGGGAAGGATGGCAACACGCCACGCAGCACTGACAGCATGCTAATAGAAAACAGCTTTAAAAAGAATATATATACTGTTGGATTAGTGGGGGTAGAGATGTCGACAGCTCATTTGTCAGGATAAATTATTACTCGTCCTCAGCTACAGCAGGCAATACCTTGAATATTTGAATTACATCACCGGAATACAAACATTTAACCTAAGGTCACACAAGATGAGCAAGAGAACCGTCTATCTTGAGCTGTGACGCAGAGTTCAGATACCACGTTTAGCTTGAGTGAAAACAAAGACTTATCAGTGTCAGACAAGGCCACTGGGCCAAAAAGCTCCTCTTCCAGACTGGTATCTTGTACAATGTAACAAATGTCAAGCTGCCTCATCTCTTTTTGTTCTTTTTCATATCAGTCTTTGAGGCGGGCTGTCGGCTCTGAGCGAGCAGCGGGGAGGAGGCTGAGCTCAGCGGAGACTCCAAAAAGGAGATTTGGCCGGCAGACGAGGACACGCAGCCACAGCTGAGACGCTGGTTACGCACAGGAAGTTGGGAGAGATTGAAGCAGGGGTCAGGCTGAGGCGACACCTGACAAAATGTTGACCTCCGGCATGACTCTGCTGTGCAAGTTCCAATGTTGATTCTGTATTTTATCTTGTTTACAACTAAGTTACTTAAAAGGATCATTCCGGTGGTTTTGCATGCTTTAGCCCATTTACTACAAATAGAGCTAACAAACCATGCCACTGTGTTGACAACCCTTCTTTAGAGCCATTGTCTTACATTCAATTTTATACAGTGCAAAAAGTAATTAGCAGGCTTTTCAAGCTGGTGTAAAATGTGCAACGTATCACATAAACGCTGCATTCATTTTGAGCTGTTTTAAGTTACATTACCGCTGTGTGGGAGGGCTGCACAATAAATCGTTTTCTAATCTTCATGTCAACTTGTGCGATGAACACATCGATATTGCACTCTGGGATTTTTTGAGTTATTAAAAAGAGCAGAATGCCAAACACGTTTATTGGCATTTCTCTCAATGTACTTACAAATAAAAAGACTTACTCATTTTATTTATCGTTAATCGCGATATTTGACTCGCTAGTCGCATATTATCCTCGTATCACGTAGCGCTACAGAATATTAGTACAGTTTGATTTGAAAACTTTATGCACTGATAATGTAATTTTAAAAAAAATGCAGACTTCCTGTTCACTGAGATGGATTATATAACTCCTGTTTTAAGAGACTTGTTGCATATTGTACAGAAATGAATGGAAACCATGTTTTGCATGTAATGATATAGAAGTTGCATATAAAAAAAAATACATATGAAACTTTAAACCATGCATTGGAAATATTTGGCAAAAAATGTAAAATACATGATCTGTAGAAAAGGAGCTCAAATTTGCAGAAATGTAATTTAGAGAAAATGAAACTGGGTTTTTGTTCTCATTTTGTTCTGGGTTTTGGCCCAACAAAAAAAAAGACCAACAAAGGGCTGCTTATGGAACCACTTTGAGTACTTCCGCCAAAGAACCAAAACAAACCATGAAGATCTTGGATGTTAAAACTGGCTCCATCCCAGACGCTTTAATCTGCTGGACGAGAACCAAGAAACCCGTGATGTCGGGTGCAGGCTAAGGTCGTCACCGCGTCATGCTACCCGTGCTCCTTGGCAACAACAGGCATCATGGGCAGCGAGGAGAGTAATTAAAGAAATGCAGCGTTAAATAAACAGGCTGCAAGAAACAAAACCTAGATAAATGTTAAGAAGAGCTGGGTTCTCTCCACAACACTGGGATAGAACATTTTAAAATACTAAAGCAACCACAAAATAAAGACTTATTGCCTTATTTCATTGTGTTATTTATAAAGGGAGAACACTGCCCCACAAACTAGATTCATTTTCATTTGTCAAATAAAAATCTGCAGTTCTATGATGATAAATTCAAATGTTTGCAGTTATTTCTCATTTCATTAATTTTAATTTATAAACATGCCAATTTTATACAAAATTAATATTTACTACATTAGTTTTACTCCTTACAGATTGTCAGCAGGCAGACATTGAAGATTTTTCTCCCCCTCTCTTTGTTGTCCTGTAGGTTTTTCAGGGGATTAGTGAGGTAAACACAGGGCGACATGCTCCGTGTTCTACATCTCTCACATGCCAGCTCGCTAAACAGGTGAGTGTCACTCCGTACGTGCAGGAAGTGTCACGTTTGGCAAACTCTGAAAGGCTGAACGAGCTCCTTCCTGTTTCTCTCAGAAAGCAAAAATCAATTCAGAGGAACGGAGTTCTTTTAAGAATTAGAACTTCTGATTAAAAAAAAAAAAAGGCTTTTAGAGTTTTAGATTGCATAGTTTGACTCTCAAATGGCGACTCAGTGATGTCTGACGAACTTCAGGAACTTTTCTGACGTTTTACAAACTGAAGGAAATATTTCATAAAGAAGTAAAGCCTTGGAAAAGATATTGATAAAGACACCATGTTTCTATTGCTTTGCGGTCTACATCACATGGAAGATAAATAAGACTCTTTTACATCACATGCAGAGATATTTTAGTGTCACAGGAACAGGTAAACTTACCCTCTACCTCCTCCTCGTCACAGATGTGCTTGAGTAAGGACGCCCCCCGGTCCAGCACCGCCTCGTCCTCCATCCTGTAGTAGTAAAAGAGGAAGAAAGACTGCTCACACTTCTCCTCCATAGACGACGTGGAGCCATAGCACCTCGGCTCGTTCACCTGCAGTAAGTTTGTACTGGGGCTCAGTCTGGTGCTGCTGGTGGCGCTCATCTCCACCCATTAAAGACTCATTGACGGACACACGCTATTGCGACAGCACCTTAAGATCTGCGTTTCAGCGAGTGAACCACCCTCAAGTGAGCGAATGTGTGTCGTCCTTGAGGAGGGCAAAGTGCGCAGTCTTTAGGTACGGTGGAACGGAGTTAATCTGGTGGACGTGGGGCGAGGGAGAGGGCAGGAAGTCGCTGCTAATTGAGTGACTGGTGCTGGTCACGCTTAAAAAAAAGAACCAAAAACAAACGCAGACTTGGCTGAGACTTGAACCCATCGAGGTCTGGATCCGTCTCTGCCCACAGTTCACCCGTTAGAACCTGAATCAAGGTGATGTGTATTGTATTACTGGTAGGGGGTCTGTAAAAGCATCAGTCAGTGTTGTGTCTAATCAGTCCCACGCCCACTACAAAGCCTCTCCATCTGGTCTGTAATGCCTGCCAGCCCCCCTCTCCACCGCCCCCTCCACCTAAGAAACAAGTGGGGCATCACATGTCTGTCTACTCATCCGCCCTTACAGGATTACGCCGGCTTTACTTAAATGACAACACTCGCAGAAGCCCACAACAGGCCGGCGTGTCGGAGCCTCCGCTGCTCTCCAAGACGACTCGGCGCCTCAAACAAACCGTGCTGTTTCCCAACAAACAGACAGCAAAGCGGATTGAAAAGTGGTTATTTCAGGCTGGTCGCCGTGGCTGACAGGAAGTTCTGTTTGTTTTTGCGGTGGGGGCAATACAGTATAAACTCTCAGGCAGCTACCAATCATTTTAGTCTTTCACACAAACAGCAAATTTACATGCATACATGGTAATCGTGCACACACACACACACACACACACACACACACACACACACACACACACACACACACACACCTGGAGATACTTAAGCCCCAGCTTTATCCTATTGGGATCACAGACAAATTGGTTTGTTTAGTTAAACAATCGCAACATTTCTTTTATTGTTTTGTTTCAGATTCGTTAAAGGGTTCATAATAATCCTTAAATATATATAATTTTTTATAAAATCAACGGTTATATTGAGTAAGAATTGGCCACAGAAAATAAGAGCTTGCTTGATAATAATATTAATGATTTCTATTAATATTAAGAGAGAAGTAGGAGAAGATTGTTGAGTGTTGATTAGAGAGTTTTTTGCCCAATCGTTTATCAATAATGATAATGTTTTGTTTTATGAAGCCATAATGTTACTGTGTCTGGTAATCCCTTGAATTAAGAAGATATACATTTGGTGTCATAATATCTTTAATACTTTCAGTAATGTTCTCCAACTTAGTTAATTCTAGGTCAAAAAGAACTGGACGGCGTGCGCTCAGTACAATGGCAGGGGGGGGGGGACACCCTGGACACAGGGGTCAGAGGTCAGCTGCCCAACAGAACTCTTCCAGCTGGTCGAGCATCCTGCTCACGAGGAGACAGTCTCTGCTCACTGCATCATGATCTTCATGTCACACATAATGGGTTCAGTTCATCGGTGTCTAGTTTCAAAATGTTATGAAGAAAAGTACGTTTGCAACAATCCCACTACTGTCAATTCATCTGTGTTGTTTTAGCATTGAGAAAAATGAAAAACTTGACGAGTACTTCTAGGCATTCAGAGTTTTTGGGTTTTTGTTTTTTTTAAACAGTTTTTTTGACCAGCCAACCTGTGACCTAATGTGTGGACAGACAACTCTCCAATCAACACCTGTGAAGTGAAAGAATAACACTGGAACTCTTCCTGTGTTTAGTTGTAAGAGCTGTTCTCACAAATTACAATTATTCTGGAAATACAGCTGCTCAAGTTTTTCTGTCATTTCCAGAACACACTGACACCAGTAAGTTGTTTTAGCTGAACTTATTACCCATTATATAGTCTTTGATAAAAAGGATAAGAAAGGGTAAATTATATTAAAATGCCACCTTTAGATTCTGGAGAAAGTTTTGGTTCCAACTGAAACATTCATTTTTAACCTAAAATTAAAATACAACAGCCGATTGATCCCTCAAAAGCATCTCAACAAGAAAGCAACTCATCCAGCTTTAACTTTGACGTGTAACTCTGTCCGCTCTGGTTCAACGTGTGAAGCCTTTTAAAACAGCACTATGATTCAGCCGCTGTTTGAAGCTCTTTTTTATCTCTGGACTTCACCAGCTGTCCTGCCGTCACTGGCCTTCCTACCTCCTCCATTGCCACCTATGGAACAATCAGGGACATAACAGGCCAAACTGCACTCTGCCTAAGCCGACCGCCCTCGCATGTCTGCAGCCAAGTTGAATTTCTACACTGAACTTCACCTGTTGTCAGAGAAGAAAGAGACAACATCTTTACGTGAACTAATTCAGCAAGAAGAAGAAAAAGGTTTATGCCTCGTGTGTGATGTGATTGTTGCATGGGAACTATTGGCGATGGGATGTGCATTCCAGGAGTTATTTTGTGAAATAAAAACAGATTGTACCCTTTTGTCATTTTTTTTGTCCGTTTTTTGACCCCAGTTTCTGGTTTGTGACGTTCTGATATTCTACCAATATGATGAAACTTCAACTTTAAATATTGTTTTATGAATCAATGAAGAGAGTATCAGTTCGGGATCCAACAAACTCTTCACAGAGTTTTGAATAGCATAATCAAATATAAGATCCCACAAGTGAATGTGTGATTGATTATTCTACCTCATGTTTTAATAATGCGTGCATGCAATGGCTTTAACACAAATGCATCAGGTTAAGTTTTAGGACTACAAACACGGACGATGCAACATCAACAGGCTGCTGATATGAGCTTGTCAAACCGCCTCAATGCAGAGTACTTCTCCTTATATTCGACAACCTGTTAGTGTACTTCTTCTCTATAGTCAAAGTGTACTTTGTTACAAGTCACACTAAACAATATCACTTCTACAATCGACATCCCTTTTAGCAGCACAAAACATGTTCTTATTTAACAGGAATATAGAAAAAAGAACAGAGAGGGACCACGAGATGCAAACTACACTACCAGCACCTGAGCGTTCAAGAGTGTAAAAGTATTTCAAGATGGATCTAATCCTCTAAATCGGTATTTTAATGACACGTACATATTTATTATCAATCGCTAAACCTTCAAACAACCTTAAGACAAGCTGTTACTTTGCACTCTGGATTCTATTTAAGCTGCTATCTGTGTTTCACTTCACAGATAACATATCAGTCTTCCTGTCCTTGTAAGAGCCGACAGTAATCTGCATGTAGCCTACAGTCACTATCTGTTTGGAGAGGTGAGCGTGTTCTCCAGTCGGCAACTGTGTGTCCAAAGCATGGAAACGTCAAACCGCCTGAAGGCATCCCGACTGTGTTGTTATGGTGTACAATATCTACTGTAGTCGTTGTGTGGGATGTGAATACATGTGTCCGGTATCCTGTACTCCAATCAGGTTTGTAAAGTCGAAGCCCCTCATGCACCGATGGCAGAATGTCATCAGATATCAGATTTCCCTGAACTTCAAAGGCTCTCTCCGCACTATAAAAGGATGCGTATAGTTTTTGTTAGATGATAGCCACGCTGGGCTTTCGTCTGACAGCAGTTTTCACTGTGCATGAGGAAGAAATTCAGAGCTTTGTTTCTTGGTAATTGTCACACAAACCGAACCAAAAGTTCCCACTGAATACTTTTAAACGATTGAGGGTCACATGGGGAACTAAAAGCAGGGTTCAGCTGGGACTGAACATCCTGGTATTGTGGTAACCAACATCATCACGACAAACGTCAAACAGACTTTATTTCGCCCAACACAATAAATGCAATTATGGCTCATTTTTTCCTGAATTTGAAAATCTGCAGTTTACACCCTTCTGGATCTATTTGCAGCACTTTACTTTTGGACATCAGCCGAAAAAGATTTACAGATTTTTCAACATGAGCCTGTTGTGTATCTCAAAATCAGAAAAATGAGTCGAGACTACACAGGAACCAGATGACTGAAGGAATTACAACTCTTGCAGGTGAGCTTGTATCGGTGGAAGAAAAATGTTTTGGTGATGACTTTCTGACAGCAAGCAGAGAAAAAAAACACAAAGTCACAATTTTGCAGTGTCACCTTGGCCACTGATTGCCCCCAATGTTAACAGATCTAACGACCAGTTTGGTAGCAGTCCTCTTTTAAAACATAGATGAACCAATAAAGACGGTTCAATCGTGAAGCTGTGATTGTGCAGCATAAGAGGAACGAAAGGCGGTGTGTTTAGGGCCCCTCTGGTCTTCACGCGATCTTATCTGAGGTATGTGTTCCTCCAGGGCTAAGATCCCTGCTTAAACGTTAACATGGTCAGACTTCAAATGACCTTTAAGGAGCTTGTTAACGTCCAGCCCGGTGTAGTTTGAATATACAGAGGGGGGTTCCTCAGGCAAGTAGATGATTTCAATTTTATTCTAACTTGAAATAGAGCACTCGGCTACAGCCCACACTGTGTGAAAGCGGTATTTGAAAAGATAAATGTCACCTTGTTGGAACCGTTCAGCCTCATTACCTAACCACTTGTTCCTGAAGTGCACCTGATCTCTAAGTGATTATTACTCCTTATATTAGGCACCGGTAGCCGTCTGCAGGCTCGCCTACACACAGGTGTGCTTAATTCAATTTATTTCAAAGGTCAATTAGCTCTGCGTAGAGTGAGAATCACTCCTGTAAAAAGCTCGTTGGAGTCACTTACTTCTTGCCGCTGCTCATCTCTTCAGGTTGCGTGTGATAAATCTCCTTAGTGAATGTGCCGAGCAGAGCGGATCACCCTGCTGATGCTTGACCTGGTAAAGGAACAAATGGAGGTCATTTTTCTGCGCTACAGTGTCTTTCACAACCAAAGTGCTTTGACTGAAAGGAACAACAATAACACCGGGGAAGAGTAATTAAGGATATTATCAGTTAGACTTATTATGGGTCTGCTGCAAATGATTTAAAAACACAATGCAGCTAAATGTTATCACAGGAGAAACAGAGGAGATCACTTTAACAAGGAGAAATACAACAAGTGTAACAATTGCAATAACAATGTTAATCCTGTGATCACTTTACTCAACAGCAGACTTCATAACCTGATGCAGTGGCTTTGGCAGCTAACAGTAAACGGCACCATCATAAATCACATTAACTGGCCCAACGAGCCGCTTAACCATAACAAAACACACTCGCGCTGCACATTTACGCACGAGCCACCCTTCAATCCATGACAAATAGCTCCAATACAACTTTAGAGCAGAGCTCGAAGAGCTTTTTTTTTTTTTTTTTTTTTTTTTTAAGTGACATAAAGCGCGATAGAAAGTGGCTGAAATCCTGAAGGAACCGGTGACACGCTGCATGGACGTGAACCGGAATAATATTCCGGTGATTTATGCTCGAGACGCCTCTTGACACACTCACACACGAGGGCCTGGTGGAAGAAATGCACTTCCGAGGTGGCGCAAGAGCGAAGGACTCGCCGCTGTAGGTCCTGTGTGCCTGGCTCCGGTTGTGTCACCGGCCGCTGTGTGCACGTGAAGGTGAAGAAGTCTACTTCCACAGCTCTCGGGGAAGTTTGAATGAGGCGTCGCGCGGCGACTGCGCTCAGCATGCTGCCGCCTCTATCTGCTGGACCATCCTTCTGTCAACGCCACTCCTCCGGTGGGAGGTCAAACTGCTCCACCGCTGCACCATCATCACTTTATCAGCCCCCCCCCCACCCCACCGCCACCACCACCCATTGTTGAACCAAGTCATTGTTCAACGTGAAGTCACCAATCTGTGGACGTTATTCAAAACATAAACAATGAGTTAGTTTTTGTAGTTTTGTTAAGATAAAATCAAGAATAAAAAAAATATCAGGCTGATAAAATAAGCAAATTCTTGTTTATGTATTTGTTAAGTAAAAACTTCTGACTTTTGTATATTTCGTCCATAAAGATGTCATAGTTCCTCGGGGATATTCATCCAGCATCTCTCTACAATGTTCTGCAGGATTGTTGCAATGTATTTTTTACGAAACACTTGCTGGGATTGTTTATTTATTTATTTTATTTGTGAATTATGTAATCTACAGCGCCATCTGTTGGAGGTAACGTGGAAAGATCAGCTTGTCATTACAGTCGTGGCCTGTTATATTATATTAAATGTAACAGGTGAAACAGAAATCAGCTGAAGATAAGTGGCTTAAAAGAATCCCTCAATTTGTAATAAAAGAAAATCTGTCATGATTTAAACATACAAAATAAAAGACAAATGGTTTTAATCTTGTGTGCACTGTCCACTTTGCTGCTGTGATCCTGTGAATGTCCCCACTGCGGGACTAATCACGGATTATCTTATCTTATGTATCATCGTCTCGCTTTCTTAAACTCACCATCAGATCACAGAGACTTCAAGGATGATCTATTTTGTAAAAGATACAACTCAAAGATGTATTGAGAGAAGATTTTTACAGCACACATTCAAGTGCTTATAAGCAAAGTTTAGTAGACGTTGGTCCATTCTCTTCCCTCTTCTTATTTCCTTTAAAGGATTAGGCCCAACTCAAGGTTTGCGGATTTATTCAGCCCAAATCTCCAATTATCCACAAGCTCTCTGACTTTCTATTAGAGGGATTTAGAAGAGTTTTATAAAGCATGTGTAGTTCGTTCTTAAAAGAAAGAAAAGAACAAGTGTAGACCGTTCATTGTCTGCACCCTCTTTGCTTTGTGTTTGTATTAAGTTTCCATCCATCACACATTTTGGGATGAAACACTCAAACTTCAGCTTTAGCTGCAAAGTCTTCCAGGAAATAAGAAAGCCATGTTTTTAGCTCCAGCATGCCCCTTTGAGATCATCACTCCACAACAGGTTCAAAGTGGTTTTGAAAAGACTCTTTAACTCTTTCAGGTGAAGTTAACCTTTACTGAAAAACAGGAAAATAAACCTGTCACATACAAATAGAAAAGGCCAGCTAATGGTTGTGACCAAACACAATGTAAATGCTTTTTTAATTGTTATTATTTTCTGCACTGATCACTTTTAATTAATTAAGAAAACTTTTAAAATATACCTGTTACTCTCCACAAGCACTGCTCGCTATGTAGTAAGTAGCTTGTGTTATTAATAAAATATCATTAGTCCCGTCTGTGTTGTAAATGATGGTGAGCATACTTCAGTTAGTATACTGACCATTAAATGGCAAAAGTTATGTTAGCAATGATGAGGCTTTCTCGACATCCAATGAATGTCGAGAACGTTTAGAATCAAAGTTAGACTAATATTATTCACAATTTATTTCTCTAAAACCGAACTGAATTAATGGTTAACGCATGCGCACTTCAAGCATGTTAGCTAGGTAGGCTACACATCCAGCTACTTTAAAAAGTACAAGTACAGCAGGAAGAAAATAATTTTTTCATGCAAAAACGTTTCATGTTTCTAGTATTTCCATAATGTGAAGATTGACTTTTATTTAGCCTATTTTAATTTATTTTAATTTATTTTTAATGATGACGTCACTTCAGGCTCTAGGTACAGTAACTGTGTCAGAATTTGTCATTGTTTTTCAAATTTTATAAAAAGCAAATAATCTATCAATTAATGGAGAAAATAATCAGCATATTAACACCATAATGTGTGCAAAATAGTTTAAAAAAATAATGTATTTGTAATGCATAACAGCTGGAACGCAGGTCACTGCATTGAGCTGCGATTTGACTTTTATTGTGATTTTGCACACTTTTTCATATCTAGTTCATATTCACACGTTTTCACCCAAATCATCCAGATGAGTTCAGAAAAGTACTTTTCAAAATCAGAAAGGCTGTGCTTGAAAAGAAGCATGCAGTGATGGCATTATTGTTCAGTTTTACAAAGGCAAGAAACTTTGCATTTGATATTATGTGACACGCAGACTCGACATGTTTTTTCACTCGACTGAGAATTCTTGGCAGCTCTTTGAACGCCTGCAGACTAACATTGGTTGCTGTGTAACATTTTATTCTAACACCGAAACTGAGCACATGGTTGCCAAACTTAGACTGGGTTATATTCAGTACACTAGAGAGTAACATTGAACTAAGATCCAGTTTAAACATTTCTTGCTTGGGATGTTTAATGTTTATGGTATCATCTAGAGTTAGACGCGTGCCGATACCTGATACTTTTTGGAAAACTAGGGTCTGTTGCCAAAACACAGCCTGCAGAGGGACTCCTGCCGCCATGTGGTTTTATTGTCTGTCTGCACCTTCTAACCTGAATTTGATACTGTTTTGATATCTGTAAATCATCTAAAATAAATATCTTTGTAAATAAGTTAAAAAGTCCTGTGTATCAAACGTATGTGTTTTAAAACAAGTTGTATATGTCTGATGGGAAATTCACTAAAATGATATTTTATTTGATTATTTCACACAGATACTGTGATGAAGTCTTTATTTTCTATTAATCAGGTTTATGTTTTCGTATTTACATTCAAAGACGTCACAGATACATCGTGAGTATTGGGATATTTGGATAAATTGTTCCAATTTTGATTATCTTTTGTGGCATGTCGGGTTTCACTGCTGCAACTGTATTTTTTGTGAGACCTCAAGATAAACAACACCTTGTGCCAGCTCATGCTTTGATGTAAAATTGTTCCAGGAAACGTAATTAAATTTAGGTGTTAGCATGGCGTTATCAGCTGTCATTAGCAAACCAGTGGGGCTCTCGACATGGTTACGGCCAACAGTGCTAACAGTGCTAACAACGGCAACAGTGCTGACAGAGTAAACAGTGTTTACCTGAGGGGGAACCGGAGGGTGGGCGCTACGCTTCTGGCGTTATATGGCCCACTGCGTTAGATAGACATTACTCCACTTTTCAGTACGAATAGTGGTTTGCTGCTATATTAATGATCTGAATATCAGATGTAGAGAACCTACAGTAAACTGCCCCCTGTAGATGAACAGATAATCAATAAACAACGACAGTTATTGGAGATAAACTCAAATATGTTTATGTAATAAAACCAACATTGCAAACATACGATTTCTTTCTCACAGATGATTATGAAATTGAATATTCACGATGTAAAGCTATGTGGTAATGTATCACCTTTCGTGGTCTTATAAGCCATTCGGGCTGAGCATCTTTACACACTTGACTAGAATTATACAATTTATCATAGAGGCCATTTTAACACTTTTTGTCAGACAAGACCTCTTTTCTGACGAAAGCTAAAACTACACCTTTACCTGAACATCATGCCATTGTCAAAAGTAAAATATTGCTGTCATGTGCTTATGCCTTCAGTATAATTGAGTTGAAACTTGTTCTCAAAACATCGTTTTATGTTTTTATTCATAACACAAAATATTGTTAAGGCTAACATGGGTACGACATATCTGAGACTAGTTAGTGGGAGAAGGGATTGTCCCTCATACTTGAGTGTATAATGCAAAACAGCTGCTGTTTTAAACATTCAACCCAAAGCATGTCAGCAGTTCCATGTTTTCCATCATGTACGGCAAGTTTTATTAGTGGAAAAAAGGCTGCAATGTTGAGAGACGGAGCGACAGCAAAACACAACAGACCTGATACTCCTTCACTTCACAGTTCCCCGGCTTTACTTCAAATTCGATTTCGAAACATGAAGTACTTGACTTGATTTCCCCTTCAAGCATGCGGATCTGAAAGGTATCTGCATTGGCTTGTTGGCCCTTTGTAGTTTGAAATGCATTCAATGTGACCTGATGCTGCTGTTTTGATCCCTCTTGTCTTTCCACAGGGTTTTATTGCCAGCTTGTGCCTTTGATGTAAAATTGTTCCAGGAAACGTAGTTCCACCTCAAACCTCTTCTCTGAAATTCCTCAGGCCACACCGTGACAATAAGAAAGGGCAAAGCGGTGTAAGATTTTATTATCAAGCAATTCAGCTGAATAGGTTAGATTCATTTTCACATTGGCAATAGTCTATTTAATAATTGTAGTGTTATTATTATTTTGCATAACATTTTTAAGAGGAGCAGCTTCATTTTTTTCTTATTTGTTGGGTTAACTATTTATATTATTTTATCATCAATGTAGTGTGACCTGCAGTGATATTCGTGCCATCAAAAGTAAGGACTTTGAGTCTGTTCTGTCAGAAGCTGTTGAACTGGTACATTTACACTGATGTTTCCAAAATGTCCGTACTGATTAAAGGTGCTAACTTCGAAATTCAGAGCATATCAATTGCCTCCACAAGGCTCTCAGATATGGTGGCGGCTGAGCCAGCGGCTAGAGGCTAACAGTGCTAATAGTGCTAACAGTGCAAAGACCGGAAACAGTGCTTAACAGTTCAACCTGGTGGGGAACCGGAGGGGGGCGCTACACTCCCGCAAAGACACCGTGGGTCAGACCGCCATTATCAGCTGGTATTAGCAAACCAGTGGGGCAAACACACAATAAAACCATCGCCAACGAGTAGTAAAAGACCATTTTACATGAAAACCAGGAATAAGTTTAACTGCTGACCTTTGTGACCTCTTTCGGACATGCTGGCCATCTTCTCCAGATTCAGACAAGATATGTTCTAATATTTGATTTTCTAGTTGGCTATAACACAAACGCTTCAACCTAAAAGCAGTATATTTGGGGTTTTAAGCAACAACTTTTGGAGGAACATTCTAGAGATTCTGTGACAGATAACCATCAATAAACCTTAACCATAAACCAAACAGGAGGCCAGACGCCAGGCAAAGGAAATGGAGATGTATTACGCAGGAGCTGGGACATAAACATGAATGACAGCACAAGTGCTGGACTAATGTCCACAGAAGGAGAACTGAAAACACAAAGAATTCCATGAATTTCAGAAAAGTACAGTGTGCCTCGAAAACCATCATGCAACGCGGTACAGTTTGATAGTGAACTATAAACAGGCCATGAAAGTATACTGTCCTGATCAGATATACACGAATGCGTTGTTCAAATGAAAGAGAGAAAAGTGGTGTTTTATTAATGTGAACATTAGCTGTTGGGCAGATGTTCTCACACAGATGTGAGGTTACAGTGTACAGTAAGTTATGTGGCAGAGATCTGTGAGGTCTGTGAGCCTCCTGCTGTGACCTGTACTGGCCTGGTGCCCTATTGGGCCAAACTTTGGCTGACTTTAAAAAAAATTATATGTATATATCAATTTATATGGGAACTTCTTTTAGGCCATATGTTTTAGGACTAATATTTGTTTGATTCCAACAACTTTTGCAAAAAGAAGTGATTTTTATTTATCACATAATACAAATATAAAGTCAGCTACTTATGCTTTTGTGCTTTCACCTAAATTCTACCATATTGATGTTTAACAGGAATCATGTTTACCATATTCACCTCTAGTGTGATTACCTGCTAATATTTCCCTCTCAGCACTAAACACAAAGTACAGCTGAGGCTGATGGGAGTGACATTAGTCTTAGAGGTATTTGGTTTTAAACCAGAGTATTGGCCAAACGCTGAGTATAAATTGGAGTAGAAGCACTGCTGGGTCTTTATGGCGATCACATACATGTGCTCTTTGGATCTGTCCGATGTACTGCTCTTATTTATTCTTGTGAGGGGCTCGTTGCACAGGTTGAATACGGTCTCAAAAGAGTATGAAATTCAAGTCTTTATAAAGATATCTTCAAAAATAGATTTGTTTTGTTTCAAAGTACCTGCAAGGTGTTTTTTATATTGTGGTATGAAAGGAGGATGCTTGAGGTACGTCTTACCGATGACATTCCTCGTAATCTGTGGACCGACTAACGGAGTCAGTGCTGTAGTTGTTTTCATGTTACTGTTAATCTGTGACAAGAGAGAGCCAGATCTGAGCTCCTTCAGGTGCACATTGCTCTGAGAAAGAGCACGCAAAGCAGAGCCACTAAGACACAGCATGTAACATTGATTTACTGGGCTTTAATGAAAAGTCTGCCTGGTGTCATGCTGGTTAACACTAGAGATGGTGGAGACAGGTTCTTTTACTTGCAGTGGAATTTGACAAAATCTTAGACGCCTTATTGACTTAGAACAACAACAAAAATATACTCTCTCCATCAAAAAGCATTTCAAACATATGAAGGTGAAACTAAAATGCATGTCTTTGTATGTTATTTCAGATTGCTCTTAAATCTCACAGATGTCAGACTTGGCAGGTGCTGCTGCTGGTCGGGTTAGAGGTATGAAGGCAGTGAAATGTCCACGGAGAAAGAAAGCACATCCATTTTACGTTAGTCCTGCATCTCCTTCTATGTGCCGTTTTGGGTATTACTTTTGTGACAGAGGAGAGTAGGGAGAAATTATTCTTTATAATATATATATACATTTTATGGCAAAAAAAAAACGCTGACTTAGGCCTTTAAGCTGTTGTTTATAAGTAAGTATTGCGTGTTGATGAAAAGTAACCTTCTTTTTATGTCTTTATTATTAATTATATATCACTCGGATATCTATCTATGTCTTATTTCTGATATCTTTGCTATTGTAAATACACATTCATAAATATAAGCAGCCTAAAAGTAGCCCAAACGTAAGGTGTATGTTTCATACGAATTATCCTGGTATAATTGTATTTATTGTTATACAGCAAGCAGCGTTATTTAAGATTGTTTTAAGTGTCCTGTCCACACAGAAAAAAAAGTATTTCAATAGTTCATCAGAGAGTCTTGAAAATTGGAGAGGCACAAGAGCACCGGCGTGTATCGCAATGAATCATGGGAGCATCCACGCGTTAATGCTCAGTCATGGAGCCGCTACTCGTGAGTCATCGCGGTCATCTTCTCCTCACGTGGACGATCTCTGGTCGTCTCCGGACCATCCCGCTGACACAGCGCGCAAACTCTCGCGATATTAGCAACAGATTAAAACAAAACGCTAGTGCCAAAGCTATTTCCGGGTCATGTGGAGGCTGTGGAGGACAGGACGAAAGGCGGAGTGATTACTGGATAAATGAAGTGAATTTAACCGAAGGGTGAGAGTATGGCGGAGCGGGATGTGTCGGGAGATGTATCACCTTCAGGGATTTCAGAAAGTGCACGTGGACAAATCGCGGATGGAAACGGACATGTTGACAGTCCCGACGAGACTCTCTCGCCGACGTCGGTGATTTACTTCCAGGAGGCTTTAGACTCCTCAAACTTGAGATTTGGGAAGGCTGACTCTCTGTCACCCACTCCGCCTCGACAGTATGACTTCAGGATTGAACGAATCGAGTCAAAGCGCAAAAGTAAGTGTTAAATAACTTATGAAAAGTCCAGATATTCACCTAACTAGCTAGCTAACATAATCCATATTAACATAATTTACCCAGAACAACCTGCTGTTAGAATTGCTAGCTTGTTAGTGTTGGCTAACTTTTGACCAAGTGTAAACAAACAACTTCCTACCTGTTTAGGATTTAACAACACTGTCAACAGCTAGCTTAGCTGACGAAGTTTATAAATGAGATAAGATAAAATAATCCTTTATTAGTCCCACAGTGGGAAAATTTAGTGCAAACAAGAGACATAGTAAAAAAAAAAAAAAAATTAAAACAATTTTAAATAAGTAAATAAAACCGTAAAGAATATTAAAAAAGTTAAAAAATCCACACTAACTAAAATATTATATATACAGACCGAATAATTGTAGTATTGCAATATTATATATACAGACCGAATAGTTGTAGTATTGCAATATTATATATACAGACCGAATAGTTGTAGTATTGCAATATTATATATACAGACCGAATAGTTGTAGTATTGCAGAGTATTTATACTGCACAGATTTTTAGTGTTTTTAGTGTTGTGGTCAAATAGAAGGTAATATAAACTGTCAGTTGATTCTCATCGTCAAACAGTTTAACACTAAAAGTAAATAATCTTTGCGGTTTATCAATCATAAACATAACTGTTGTTGTTGAACGACTTGGTTTAATTGCTTTATATCTTCACTGGTTGCTGCTATGAAATGAATTTGTGTCTGTGATACATTTCATATTTGTTGTTGTTCACATGAAGTAACCAAACATCTGCAGTTATTTACTGCTTTAACTGAACAGATAATAAAAGAAGACATTAACTTAGTTTCCTGCACTTCTACCCAAGTTGTCGTCATTGAAGACTTTCCAAGATATTACAATATGACACAGAATATTTTCTGAGATATCTCTTCTTAAATGAGTTGGTTAGCTGTTTTTTGTTTGAGTAAGGTTTTATTTTTTAATAATTCCTTCATTCTTTTATCATTTTGTCATTTAGTCTGTTGTGTTTTGTCTTTTGTCAAGCAGCAATGCTTAAAATGTGTTGGTGTTTGCTCCTTAAATGTGTGGATTTGCTGCTTTTCTGTTTCACATAATTGTAAATTATATATCCTTGAAGTATTGGACTGTTGCTCAAGCAAAACATGCGTTTTCGAATATGTCACTTTGGACTCTGGGAAAGCTCAAACACTTTATTGGACATTTTATTCATAGAAAGTAATCTGCCCTGACCAATACTGGATCCTTGAGGCCAACACTACAATAACTACAGTGTTATTAGGGAGTTAAATAAACCTGATAATGATTTAACGGCAGAAAGTAATTCTTTAAAAACGTATCGAGCACATTCTTGATAATGATCCCTTAGATTTATTTATTTAAAGACTTTGACAGACATGCTCTGTGATGGACAAACCATAATACTGTTCTTTGCATTTCTGTACTTAAACGTGAACTTCTCCTAAAGCTAATCAACACTCAAATGAATGATCTAAATGAATCTCACTGTTGTAGCCGAGTGGAACGAGCAGTGAGTCCTCTGAAGTCTTGGTCCTGTTGACCAATGTCATGTACGGGTTTTGATTTATATTTTTTCCCAACATGCACCAGGGCCTGTAGAAACTTTGCCAAAACACAGCGTTTGTCTTTCTTTTCTGGTTTTGCTAAGACGTGCCTCTCTTGGCTTTCTTCAGTGGGAGTTAGAATAACACGAGGCCCATTTACACCCTGGACACTCTCTGCTGTCTCTGCTGCAGCCAGCTCAATAATGGTCAAGTAACAGGCGTCTGTTTCAGGTCAGAGGAAACTCTTGATGCTTGAGAGGCAGATGAGTCCTCTGCTGCATCATTAGCACTGGCTGGCTACTCTGGGGACCCCTCCTCCTTTCC